TCGGGATCATCCTCGGCAGAACTGTCCTCGCCAGTGCCGCTCTCCGACTCCTTGTCGGCCCCATCGCTCTCCATGTCGGTATCCCCCCCGCTGTGGCCACTGGGCCCGCCCGCGTCGCTGCACCCATCAATGCCCAAGCCCGGCATTGCGCAACGGACGCGACGTGGCGCGGCACTGGCAGGGCTTGACCGCTGCCTGGCGGGGCGCCAAACCGCTGACTGGGAAGGCTCCGCCGCTGCGCGGCAGGGCCTCGCGAGCCAAAATGACTACAGAACCGTCGGGGGTCATTCGTCCTCCTCGTTCGGCTGCTGGTACTGGTAGGTAGTGGTAGTGCTCGTGGTAATGGTTGTGCTGCTAATGCGGTTGTTCCTCCTCCACGCCCCCCTTCTTTGTCCTCCTCCTTTTGCGGCTGCAAGCTTGCCGACTTGCGTCCCGGGGGGGGGGGGGGGGGCCATGTGAGGGGAGCGGGGGCAGGACCGAAGTGCATGACGCCTGGGGGCTTCAAGTTGTTCGCCCGGGGGGGGTCCCGACATGCGCCAGACTCAACGGTAAGGGGGGGGGGGGGGTGTTATACCCACAGACAGGCCCCGCGCCGGACGCTTCGGAAACCTTCCTCGGTGACCCCCCAACTCGACAAACCAAAAGTGCTACATCGAATCCCGCGAACATAAGGGCAGCCGACTTGACCATATTAGGCCGCTATAAAAATCTTACTGCATCTCGTCGGTTGCACTATCACCTTTTATCTTATAGCACCAAACGTAAACGACGCATCGCTGCCGCCGCTGCTTCCAGAACGGCGGGCGGGGGTGGGGCGGCGGCGGCGACCCGGCGACCAGCAGCGACGGCGGAAGGGGGGCACGGCCGACTCCCCGACGGCGACAACGAGGGGTCCTCCCCGGCGGAGAGATCCCTGACCTTCAGCGTCTCGGAAAAAAAGGAAGAAGGGCAATTTTTGGCATCCGGGAGCCCCCACGGGCGGGGCCTCCACGGGCCCCGGGGCCGTCGAAAAACGATCCGGGGGGGGGGAACCAGCCCTGGGGAAGGGATCCGACGGCGACGGCAGGCACATAAGATAATACATGTTGCTATGGGAATAACTATGATATGCAGGGGCACGCTCGTCGCCCATCCTTTGGCCTCGGGGTGCGCCAGGGCCCCTGTGGATCTCCGGGCCATCGGGGAGCCATCGGGGAGTCAGGAACCTCCATGGGGCACCTGCTGGCGGGTGTTTTTCTTATCCGACGCGCCTGCTGTACACCGGGTCGTCTCCTCCTGCTGTGCCACACCCAATAGTCCGATGCGGCCAGTGGCGCCCCCCCTCAAGAGCGGCGGGCAGGGCGCGCGCTCCTCTCTCGTGCGCGCACAGATCGACATCGGTCTCGAGCGGCCAGGCTCGCTGCAGTTGCCCCCCCCCTCCTCGCCCTCCTCCTCCTCCTGATGTCGAACGTGGAAGGACGATGGATCACGGGGCGCCTGTCTTTCGGCCTGGCTCCGTCTCCGACGGCCCCGGGGCCCGAGGGCGGCCCAAGGGGGGGCCGAGAACGCAGAGAAACAACCCGAACGTCGACGAGTCAACAAGACCATGACGAAGACGACGACGACGACGACGGCGACGGCGACATGTCCGCCTCCAGCCACGTCCTGTTAGCGGCCGTCGCGGCGGGGAACGACGGCGGAACGACGACGACGACGGCGGCTGCGGCGACGACGACGACGACGACGGCGACGACGACGACGACGACGACGACGACGGCGACGACGGCCACAGCGACGGCAACGGCGACGGCGACGGCGACGGCGACGGCGACGGCGACGGCGACGGCGACGGCGACGACGACGACGACCTCCCGGGCACGAGAGCCGCACGGGGGTCGGCGGGGGCCTGCTTCTGCTGCGCCGCGGACTCCGTCGCCGCCGTGCCGTCCTGCAGGCCGCGCGGCATCGTCGTCGTCGTCGTCGTCGTCGTCGGCGTCGTCGCCGCCGCAAATTTTCCCATGTTTTGTGTTGGATTTCGCGCGGGGGACCAAGCATTGGCGTCGGGGAACCCAGCACTGGCGTCGGCACTCCCCCAGATTTCGTAGACTCACTGGCCGAGGGCGCCCTGGAACCAGGGCGGGCGCGCGAAACGGCGACCGCCCCCTGCGCATGACAGGCAAAAACCAGACATCGGAACCACAGCGGGCCTCTAAGCAAAAAAAAAACTTGGCTCGCCCCCTGAACATCTACCGTAGACGTGTACATTGTCCAAAGCTGGGTTTCACGTGTCTGGTTTGCCGTCCATCAGTCGCCAACGTGCACAGTGCCGCGGACCTCGCCCGACTGCCGCTTCGATCGACGATGACAGTCGAATGATGGGCGACCACTCGGGCGGACGACGGCGACGACGGGATTCGGATTCAGGGGATTCGGATTTGGGGGGATCAAAATGCGCGCGTCGGCTGCAACCCCCCTCGGAACCCCCCGGGGCCCAAGCAGCGCGAAGGGCCGAGAGGGGCCCTCCAGAACACAGCGACGAGCGACGTAGGAGAACTCCGCCCGAGAGGAGGACAGGCCCCCCGCAATGCCCCGCGCCGTCCGAGCGGGCGGAAGGGGGGGAGGGCGTGGACGAGGGGGGGAGTTACGACGACCAACCGGACGAGGGGGCGGAGCAGCAGCAGAGGCTGCTGCAAGAGGACGATGGGAAAACATTTCGGAACTGATATCGCTCCCCGGGCAGCGACATCTGGACTGATATGGTTCGCCGCGCTCGTCGCCGCGCGGCCAAGAGGTGCGACGCCGCGCTCGCCCAAATCCGCCGACCCTGTCGGGGCCCTTATCCACCCGCGGGGGCCTTAGATAAACCCGCGGGGGGCCTTAGACAAACCCGCGGGGGCCTTAGATAAACCCGCGGGGGCCTAAGATAAACCCGCGGGGGGCCTTAGATAAACCCGCGGCGGGGCCTAAGATAAACCCGCGGGGGCCTCAGATAAACCAACGGGGGTGCTTAGATAAACCCGCGGGGGCCTTGGATAAACCTGCGGGGGCCTAAGATAAACCCGCGATGGGGGCTTAGATGAACCCGCGGGGGCCTAAGATGAACTCGCGGGGGGGGGGGGGGGGGGGGGGGGGGTGGGGGGGGGGGGGGGGGGGGGGGGCTTGGATAAACCCGCGGGGCCCTAAAAAATAAACCCAACGGGGGCCTTAGATGAAAGCGGGCCTTAGATAAACCGCGGGGACCTAAGATAAACCCACGGGGGGCCTTAGATAAACCAGCGGGGGGCCTAAGATGAAACAGCGGGGGGCCCGAGATAAACCCGCGGGGGCCTTAGATGAACCCGCGGGGGCCTTAGATGAACCAGCGGGCGCCTTAGATAAACCCGCGGGGCCTAATACCCGCGGGGGGCCTAGATCTAGATAAACCCGCGGGGGCCTAAGATGAACCTGCGGGGGCGCCTTAGATAAACCAGCGGGGGGCCTGAGATAAACCAGCGGGGGCCTTAGATAAACCCGCGGGGGCCTAAGATAAACCGGCGGGGGCCTAGATAAACCCGCGGGGGCCTTAGATGCACCCGCGGGGGCCTAAGATAAACCCACGGGGTGCCTTGGATAAACCAGCGGGGGGCCCTAGATAAACCAGCGGGGGCCTTAGATAAACGCGCGGGGGCCCAAGATAAACCCGCGGGGGCCTACGATGAACCAGCGGGGGGCCTTAGATAAACCCACGGGGGCCTACGATAAACCCACGGGGGGCCTTATATAAGCCGGCGGGGGTCCTTAGATAAACCAGCGGGGGCCGTAGATAAACCCGCGGGGGCCTGAGATAAACCCGCGGGGGCCTTAGATAAACCCGCGGGGGGCCTAAGATAAACCCGCGGGGGTCTGGGGCAAACCGCGGGGGCCTAAGATAAACCCGCGGGGGCCTTAGATAAACCCGCGGGGGGCTACGATAAACCCACGGGGGGCCTTAGATGAACCAGCGGGTGGCCTTAGATAAACCAGCGGGGGCCTTAGATAAACCCGCGGGGGCCTAGGATAAATCCGCGGGGGCCTAAGATGAACCCGCGGGGGCCTTAGATAAACCCGCGGTGGCCTAGGATGAACCAGCGGGGCGCCTTAGATGAACCAGCGGGGTGCCTTGGATAAACCCGCGGGGGCCTTAGATAAACCCGCGGGGGCCAAAGATAAACCCGCGGGGGCCTAAGATAAATCCGCGGGGGGCCTAAGATGAACCCGCGGGGGCCTAAGATAAACCAGCGGGGGGCCTTAGATAAACCAGCGGGGGGCCTTAGATGAACCAGCGGGGGGCTTAGATAAACCCGCGGGGGCCTAAGATAAACCGGCGGGGCCTCAGATAAACCCGCGGGGTGCCTTAGATAAACCCGCGGGGGCCTAAGATAAACCCACGCGGGGCCTAAGAGAAACCCGCGGGGGCCTTAGATAAACCAGCGGGGGCCTGAGATAAAGAACGGGCGCGCCATGATGCGAGAGCGGGCCCGTTCTCGCCAGAACTGGCGCGCCATCTCACGAGAACAGGCCCTTTCGCGAGAACGAGCCCGCCGCCGCGAGAAAGGAGCCCCCAAGACGGCCCAAAGAGGGCCCGAAGAGGCCTCCAAGACGCCCAAGGTAGCCTTCAAGACAGCCCAAGAGGCGCCAAATACGGCTCCTAGAGAAAGTACGAACATATATCTGTAAAAACAAGAAGCCTCAGGAAGCCCCTCAGGTAGCCCCTAAGGATGCCCCGCGAGGCTCCCGCGCGGCCCTCAACAGGGCCCCGAGGGCGGCCCAAGAAGGTTCCAAGATGGCCCACAACCCAAGAGGCGCCCAAGACGGCCCAAGAGAGCCCCAAGATGGGCCCAAGAGCGGCACAGGTAGGGCCCACAAGAGGGCGCCATCTCTGGCACGGCGGCGGGATGGGCCAAAGGCCAGTGGATATTGTTGCGGCGGCCTTGGCCACCAGCGCTGGGCCAGCATGGGATGCAAGCCCGCGGCGCTGGCCGGGACTCACACCTGCAGGTCGATCACTCCTCCGCGGAGTCGTTCTCGTCCGTGCCATCGTTGCTCGTTGACGTCTCACCCGAGCTAGAGGTTTTGTCCTCCTTCTTATGCTTCTTCTTCTTGGGCGGGGTGGCCTCCGGCGCATCGTCGTCGGAGTCGTGGCCCCCGAGCGCCCGCTCCACTTTCTCCATCGCGTCCTTGTCGTGCAAGCGGTTGCCCGACACCTGCATGGCCATCGCGATGCCGCAGTCGACGAAGTACTCGAGAAGCTGCACGTGCTCGGCGCTCAGCCCCAGCAGCAACAGCGGGAACTCGCGCTGCACAGCGGCGAGCGCCGCGATCCCGTTGCCGGGCGTGAACAGCACCGCCCGCTTCGCCTCCCACTCGGCCCACACCTCGCAAGCCCTCTCGATCGTCCGGCCCGGCCCCGATCCCGCTCCTGATCCCGGCCCCGTCTACGATCCAGAATCCGATCGGGCCGCGCACGTCTACACTCCAGCTCCCGATCTCCCTACCATTCGGGGACGGGCCAGACGCGAATCGAGAGGGCACCGGGGCCCGGGGCCAGATTCGCGACGCAGGTCGCGTCGACAGACGGGTCAAGATCGAATAAGGAATCGACCTGCGAGTACACGTCGGCGTGGTACTCGTTGCTGAACAAGGGCGCGTCGGTCTTCGGGTCGGCCTGGGGCACATCCGCGGCGAGGCATGCCGGCGCGGTGATCAAGAGACGGCTCTCCTTCAACTTCGCCAAGTTGGTCTGGTTTCCTTTCTGGTTCTTCCCGCGCCGGCTCTTCTCTTTCTTCTTCTTCTTCTTCTTCTTGTCCCCTTCCGCCGGGCCGGTCTTGCCCGCCTTCCCCGGCTTGTCCTTCTTGCCGCCCTTCTTCTCGGACTCCTTCGGTTTGTCCTTCTTGCCCTTCTTCGCGGACTCCTTCGCGGTCTTCTTCGATTTGTCCTTCTTGTCCTTCTTGCCCGCGGTCTTGGTGGGCGTGGCCTCGGCGACCCCCCCCTCCTCGGCCGCCGTGGCCTGACCGGCGCCAGTTTTCTCCTCGTCGTCGCCCTGGTCCTCCTCCGGCGCTCCGCGCGCCGACCAGATGTCCTCGAAGATCATGTCGCGCACAGCGGCCGGCACGGCGCAGTGCGACAAATCCGGGCACAACGGCACGTCCTCCCAGCGATCATCCCACGTCGCGCCGCCGAAGACGGCCCTCGCCTTGGGGAGCAGCTTGCTCGGCCACGATCCCTTGTAGAAGAAGAAGGCGTTCTCGGACAAGGTGCCCGCTACGCCCCGTGCATAGGTAGCCCTCTTCGAAGGGCGAACGAAATTCAAAGTGAAGTGCTTCGCGCGGAAGGAGCTCCTCGACTTAACCCTCATCGCTTCGATGATCTGGCTCTGCAGCGCGATGCCGGTCTCCCACCCGATGCCCCACCCTGCCTTGGTCGCCTTGCCGAGGAGGACAACCGCGTACCCCTCGTTTTCGACGGTGATGAGCCTGTTCACGACGTCCGCGAACTTGTCGAAGTCCTCGGGCAAGAGAGGCGTGGCCCGCGGTTTGCCCTTCACCTCCCAAGATGTCGGGATCGCGTACATGTAGCACATCCTCGACGAGCTGCCTGCCATCGACTCCTTGTAGACCCATGACGCCGTGATCGCCTTGTAAGGGCGACAGGTGCACACCGACACCAAGTCCGGCTGGGGGCCCGGATGGGCGTAGGCCCCGCTGTCTCCGCCGGGAAGCGGCATACACCCATCCTGTGCCCCCGGCCAGGGTCGGCGTCGATATGCAATTGTCATCCCACCACGCCTTCTCCGTCGCGAGGGCGGATTCCCCGATCGCAGCAATGGGCGCGTACGCCACCCGGATCTCCGTCGCCGCCGACGACATCTCCCCGCGCAGGCCGGCCAGCCGCATCTCGGATTCGGTGAGGGAATCCTTCCCCTCGGCCCCTGGCGGCGCGACGTCGTTTTGCTTGGGGGGCTCCTCCTGCTTCGCGTTCCCCCCCTTGACGTTCGCCACCCACTCCTTGTACTGCGTCTCCAGCGCCTCGATCTGGGTCGCGAAGCCCTCGGCGCTGCGCAAGTGGGAGGAGTACGTCATCGACCCGACGCCGCCCGCCGGCGGCTTCAAGCAAAGGCCCGCGAGAATTTTGTCCTTCTGCCCGTCCAAGATCTGCCGACCAAGCCGGTTGAAATGCACGGTTGCCCAGGCCGGGAGGCCTGAAATTGGTGTGTCCTCTGCTTTGGCCCGCTGGTACGCGTCCACCGTGCTGTATTTCCGCTCCAGCTCGCGCAGAGCGGTCTGCAAGTCCGCCAAGCCTGGCTTCGCCGTCAGTGCCTCCTGCGTCGTTACCTTGGCCGGCGCGAGGAACTCGGCCACGAGGCCGTCCAAGAGCTTCTTCCGAAGGATGGAGACAGAGATGGGCCCCTGCCTGGTCTGCAGCGTGGTCTTCGAGAAAGAGTCAACTTTGCGGTTCAACTGGTCGTGCATGAGGCTCTGCATGACCCACGCCGTCTCCTCCTCGCCGCGGCAACGCCCCGAAATCACCATAAGCCTTGGTCTTCCCGGCAAGGCGGCCCAGGCCAAGCTGCGAACCTGCTAGGACTCTCCGGAAGTACGCGGAGCCTCACGGGGGTCCTGCACCGGCGCGCATGCATCCGATGTCGAACCCCTTCCTCCCCAGACCTTCCCTCCCAAAGCAAAACCGCCTCAGTCGCTCAACGGAACATGGCCGTTCGAGCGTAGACCGCCCCTTTCTTATCCAGGAGCCCGGAAACCCGACCCGCGCGGCCCGGTCGTGGAGCCCCGGAGCCCCCGCGGGGCCATCTCCAGCTTCGCGGGGGCCCCGATCGGCAGAGAACGACCGGCGATTAGCGACCCGTGGTCGGGCGCGGGATAGATAGGATGACTAAGCCAATCTCTTCGAGTAGTCGTCGAAGGGACTCTGGCGGCGCAGCTTGTCCTGCGCCGCCATAACGGCGTCTCTGATCGGCCCGCTCCCGGCGAACTTGTCGTACAAGGTGATAAGCTTCTCGCGCACTTCGTCGCCCACCTCGCGGCCAGGGCTCCAGCGGATCTTCGACAGCTTTTTCGCCACCTCTTCCGCCTTGCCGGAGGAAGCGGAAGAACATGATATCCTACGACGCTCGCTGCGGGGCATGTTTCGTTGGGCGCTACTGGCGCGTTTCATTGGGCTGGGCCGTTGGCCGGCTCGCTCGTTTCTTTGGGCGCTGCTGGCACGTTTCATTGGGCGCTGCTGACATGTTTCATTGGGCGCAGCTGCCATGTTTTATTGGGCGTTGCTGGTGTGTTTCACGGGGCTGCGTTGGTAGCTGGCTCGCTTGTTTCAAAGGGCGCTGCTGGCCCGTTTCATTGGGCGCTGCTGGCATGCGCCATTGGCCTGTACTGGTAGCTGGCTCCCCTGTCTCATTGGGCGCTGCTGGCATGTTTCATTGGGCTGCGCTGGTGGCTGGCTCGCTTGTTTCAATCGGCGCTGCTGGCATGTTTCAATGGGCGGCGCTGGCATATTTCGTTGGGCTGCGCTGGTGGCTGGAGCTTTCTGCCCGCGCCCGCGGCCTTGACGGAACGGTTCTCTGTCTTTCGCAGCTCGTCCCGCGCCGCCCCGACGATGATCACCCGGTCCCAGCCTCAGCGCCGCATGCTAGAGCCAGGCCGGTCCACCAGGCCCCAAGCCGGCCTTGCTGTCAAGACCGCGACCCGCGCTGCGTCGAGCTCGCAAGGGGGGGCGCGCGCGCCGGGTGGGAGCTCCAAAAGAGCCAGGAGCAATCAACAAAGACCGAACACAGAGAAAGGCAATGCCCCCCGATCAACGACCCGAGATCGACGCACGATCGGCAGAGCTTGGCCTTATGAGGCCACGGCCAGTCAGGCCGGTCATTTCCCGCAGAAACTCGACGTCCTCCCGCAAGCTCAAAGCCTCGTTGTAGCGGAACGTCTCGTCCGGGCAGTAGATGAAGCTGAAAGGGACGTTCCGCTGCAGCCTCTTCGCCGCATCGATCAGGTCTCTGCACGCACGGAGTGTCTTCTCACATTCGTCAACGTCCGGCGAGGGTGCCTTACCGCCATCTTTCTCTTTCTTCGCCGCCTTCACTGCCACCTGCGCCTTGTCCCGCAGCTCCGCGGCCAACCCGACGAAGCGCCAGAAAGAGAGGACCACGGCGTCGTTGTTCAGCAGCCGGTACTTCTGGGGCCACGCGTCGGGGTCCATGATGGACACGGCGATGCTCGCCTTCTCGGGCCAGGAAATCGGGAACGCGATCTCGTTCTCATTCCAGAACGTGTCCGCCGCCTTCGTATTCCCCGCCAGCGCCGCGTGCGGCCCTGGCTTGGTCTCCACGGGCTTCGTCCACAAGCGACGCCCCGCTTTTTCCACCGTGTCCATCGCGATGGCCAACTGCTCCACCGAGAAGTCGTTCGCCAGAGAGGTCAGACACGCAAGCCCCTGCACCTGGGGTGGAAACGGAGCAATGTTTGGCGAAATCGGCCGGTGCTGTGGCCCAGGAGGCCGGTTGGCTGGGTTGGCTGGCGGGTTGGTTGGGTTGGTTGGCTGGCTGGTTGGGCTGGCTGGCTGGGCTGGTAGACTTCAGGTTGACTCACTCTGGTTGACCTGGCTGGGTTGGCTGGCTGGCTGGGCTGGCTGGGCTGGCTGACTGACTGGCTGGCTACGTTGGGCCGCTGGCTGGGATGCAGGGGCAGGGTCTTTCGGATGGTCCGAAGCGCCTTGCTGCCAGCCATCCGCCGCAACGTCGCCGATCGGGCCTGCGCCTCCTGCGACTGGATGCCCTGCATGGCACCCCCCTCGCTCAGCGGCAAGGGGTCCGGGCAGCTCTTCTCCCATTCGCCCCGCAAAGTGCTCGCGCGCCTCCCCCCGTGGAGGAAAGCGAACGAATTCATCCCGGGAGCGCCGTGTGCGCCTCGCTGGAACCTCGCGCCTTGTGCCTGGCTCGCTCGAGCCAAAATTGCTATGGCCTTGTGCCTAGTTCGCTCGCTCCTCCTGCTTCTGCTGCTGCTGCTCCTCTCCCCCCCCCCGAGGCCGGAAACGGAAGGAGAACGAGCACGAGAAGCACGCGTGGGCAGGAGTTGAGGAGGAGAAGGAGGGGGGGGAGGAGGAGGAGGATCAGGAGGAAGACGAGGATGATAAGGAGGAGGAGGAGGAAGAGAAGGAGGAGGGAGGAGGAGGAGGGAGAAGGAGGAGGAGGAAGAGAAGGAGGAGGGAGGAGGAGGAGGGAGAAGGAGGGAGGAGGACGGAGAGGAGGCGGGAGGAGGAGGAGGAGGAGAAGAGGAGGAGGCTCCTCCTCCTCCCCGACTGCTGCGGCTGCCTCCCCTTCCTCCTCGCCCCGTGTGGTGTGGTGTCCTGTGCGTGCGTGCCCCCCTCCTCTCCTCCTTTCCGTCTCCACACTCCGTTTACCCTACCCTCGCGTACAGCCACCTCCCTAGGGAGGAGGGGGGGGAGGAGGGAAAGAAGTGGGAGGAGGAGGAGTAGGAGGAGTAGGAGGAGGAGGAGGAGAGGAGGAGTAGAGGAGGAGGAGGACGCGACGAGACGAGGAGGAGAGGAGAAGGAGGAGGGTAGAGGGGAGGGGCTGTAGAGGGAGGAGGAGGGAGGAGGAGGGAGGAGGAGGAGGAGGAGGAGGTCCTCCTCGAGGAGGAGGAGGAGGAGGAGGGGGGAGGAGGAGGGAGGAGGAGCCGGCGGAGAGGGAACCCTGGCCCCGGCCACCGGTCGTCGGCAGCGTTTCTCGACCGAGGTGCCGCGGGCACCCAGAACGGGAAACGCGGAACCGGTTCTCCGTTTCTCGCAGGAGGTCCCTGGGCCCCGCGCGGGAAAAGGAACGCTGGCCCAGCGTTTCTTTTCCCGGGCGGGGCCCAGGGACCCCCAACGGGAAACGCGGAACCGGTTCTCCGTTTCTCCCAGGAGGTGCCGCCGGCACCTCAAACGAGAAACGCCGAGCGGTGCCGGCGGAGAGAGGGCTCTCGTCCTCCTCGTCCCCGGCCACCGGTCGTCGGCAGCGTTCCTCGACCGAGGTGCTGCGGGCACCCAGAACGGGAAACGCGGAACCGGTTCTCCGTTTCTCGTAGGAGGTCCCTGGGCCCCCCGCGGGAAAAGGAACGCTGGCCCAGCGTTTCTTTTCCCGCGCGGGGCCCAAGGACCCCCAACGAGAAACGCGGAACCGGTTCTCCGTTTCTCCCAGGAGGTGCCGCCGGCACCTCAAACGAGAAACGCCGAGCGGCGCCGGCGGAGAGAGGGCTCTCGTCCTCCTCGTCCCCGGCCACCGGTCGTCGGCAGCGTTCCTCGACCGAGGTGCTGCGGGCACCCAAAACGGGAAACGCGGAACCGGTTCTCCGTTTCTCGTAGGAGGTCCCTGGGCCCCCCGCGGGAAAAGGAACGCTGGCCCAGCGTTTCTTTTCCCGCGCGGGGCCCAGGGACCCCCAACGAGAAACGCGGAACCGGTTCTCCGTTCCTCGCAGGAGGTCCCTGGGCCCCCCGCGCGGGGCCCAGGGACCCCCAACGAGAGACGCGGAACCCGTTCTCCGTTTCTCCCGAGCAACGCCGAGCGGTGCCAGCGGAGAGAGGGCCCCCTCTCAGCTTCCTCCTCCTCCTCCCCCTCCCCCCCTCCTCCTCCCTCCTCCTCCTCCTCCTCCTCCTCCTCTCCTCCTCTTCTTTCTCCTCCGCCTCGCTCCTCCTCCCCCTCCTCCTCCTCCTCCCCTCCTCCGCCTCCTTTTTCCTTTTCCTTTTCTTATCCTTGTCCTTTCCTCCTCCTCTTCTCTCCTTCTCTCTCCTCCTCCTCCTCCTCGTGCTCGTCCTCCTCCTCGTCCTCGTCCCCTCGTCGTCGTCGCGTCGTCCTCCTCCTCCTCCTTCTCTTCCTCCTCCTCCTATCCCTCCCTCCTCCCTCCCGCTATCCCTTACCCTCCTCCTCCTCCTCCTCCTCCTCCTCCTCCTCCTCCTCCTTACTCCCTCTTCCCTCTTCATCCTCCTCCTCCTCCTCCTCCTCCTCCTCCTGCAGGCCGGCAAGCCGCTGGCCGCGCCGCAAAGTCCCCGGAGGCGAGCTCCCCCGTGCAGGCGACGTCTCCTCCTCCCTGCCTCCCGTTCTCCTCCTCCTCCCTCCTCCCCCTCCCCCCTTCCTCCCTCCTCCCTTCTCCTCCGCCTCCTCTTCCTCCTCTCCTCCTCCTCCTCCCTCCCCTCCTCGTTACCCTCCGCCCCCAAACCCCTTGAACCACCTCCTCCTCCTCCTCCTCCTCCTCCTCTCCTCCTCCTCACTCCTCCCCCTCCTCGCCCCTCCTCCTCTCCCTCCTCCCTCTTCCTGTACTCCTCTTCCCTCTCGTCCTCCTCCTAACTTTTCTCCTCCTCCTCCTCCTCCTCGCTCCTCCCTCCTTCCCCCCCCTCCTCCTCCTCCTCCCTCCTCCACCGTTTGCCTGCTCCTCCTCCTCCTCCTCATCCTCCTCCTCCTCCTTTTCCTCCTCCCCCCCTCCTCTTCCTCCCTCCCCCGACCCCTGCGGCCCCCCCTGCCGGAAGAGCCGAGCTGCGCGAGAGCGGC